AGGTCAACAGGGCTCTCTAAAAGTTAAACTGCATTGTTCTGTTTCCAACTGCGACTCCACAGCACTCTCGGTAAAAGCCCACATGGTAAAAGATGGAATAAAATAAAGTAAACAAAACCCTAGGGAACCATTTAAAAAAAAAAAAAGGAAGGGGGGGGGAGGAGGGGAACAGGCAGGGGGGCATTGTAGCCTGTCAAAATAAAAATCGAGGACCCCTAACTCAGGTTCAGAAGGAGATTTCCTTCTTTCTGCACTAATGTGTATCAGTGAGGACCTGAGAAGCGTGCTGCAAGCAAAACGTATCTGAACTGGGAACCTGAGAGGGGCCTGTGGGCTGGCGGGAGGTCCTAGGAGCCCTTGTAAGGAAGGAGCAAGGTGGTGTGACAATGCAAGGGGAAAGTTTGAGCATCATATAAAAGAGTTTGATTTATGGAATGAAAACCAGCAACCAACAGTTAATAGGGTTAACATCACTAGGACTTCCTGTATCCAAACCAGTTCCTTGAGAAAAGTGTCCTTTTTAATGTCTGCAAAGCTGTAATACTTATTTTCGGTATTGCTTTCATTGACAGACAGTATGATCAGGAGTATTAGTCATGGTTAACGTTTACTCTTATTTACCTGCAGGTAAAGCAGATCTTTAGAAGGGGAGAAGTTAGAATATAGAAACCATTAGAATATAGAAAAAAATATAGAAATTAGTATTTAATACAAGAACTAATTATGGAACATTTGCCATCAGGTTGGTAACAGTAACAACACATCTGGAGAGACATTGTGTTATACCTGGATATGATGCTTAATCTTTGTGCCTCTCAGATGACCCTTCAAAATAAGTGAATAGTAGCTTTCTCCTGTGCGTTAATTTTTCCACCAGCCTGCTGTGTTTCTGGCTGCCTACTGGCTCAGCAGGACAGGAGGGCTGTGCAGCAACCAGCATGCCAACATCCTATTCTTCATGTGTGCTGCTACCCCTGCAGTCAGGTAACAATTTCAGACATCTGTCAGGTACACTGGGAGTTCCAGCAGAGTCGTGTTCAGGGGGCTGCAGCTACCATCAGGATACCTCGTCAAGAGATAATGCTGCCTTGTATATAGGGTGTTCTCTCGAAGGCATCCTCTGCAAGTATGCTGAGGCAGGAATTGAGTGGTGGCAGTAATTAGGCAGTGCATGCTAAGCTCATTACCTGTTACAATCACACGTGTGATGCTGCAGAGATGCAGTTTCATGCTGATAATGAAACATTCTCTGGTCTCCTTTTCAAGAGCTGCAGCAGCCTGCAAGTTTCTATGAGAAAGCAAACGTATCTTTGTCATCTCTTCTTTACTGCTATGATTTGTAGTCCTCTGGATTTGTGGAGGACCTAATCCAGAGTTTTGAGGGAATAGCTTTTTAATTTTATTTTTTTTTGATACATTTAAACAACAATTTTGGGGTCACTGCAAGTTAGATAACCTCATTAGACAGCAGCGGTGTTCAGGGGGTGCTAGAGAATTCCTCACCACTCCTCCCTGCCCAGAGAACTCCCTCATCCAGTCTGGCAGGAAGATGGAACAAACGTTCACGTGGCCTCTGAATTCCTAACCAGTCACACCCCGGCATTTCGGCCTGTTTATGTGTGGGGGAACTTCTGTGGAGTGGAATGCCTTGATCTTTTCTTTTCTCTCTTGTACTAGGGTGCTAAAAAGTGCATGCTTCTGTGGCAAGGGGACAAAAGTTGATTATTTTTTTTCCTTGAAGAATGGCTAGTAACAAGTGCTCATAAAATGTTCCTGTAAAAGCTGCATCGTCCTACTCTTTACTCACACAAGATCCATGTATGATGGCAACTTAAATTGTTTTTTAAACCAGTTTATTTCAAATTTAAGTCCTTGGAAGCTTGCAGTCCTTTATGTACAGGTTATTGAAGTCAAACCAGAAGGTTTTTGCTTGTTTATTTTGAAACAGCTCACTGTCTGTAGAAGCTTGCAATTCATTGTGGGCATCTCAGGTCAGTTCCTGACTGATTTGTTTGGTACTGAAATGAGCCTGACTTGAGTGAGTCTTAAAAATACTCGTGTGACCTTTTGTACTGGTTGAACTATGCCAGTTTAAAGTCTCCTGTAAGGAAAACGAGTGTGCTTCTCCTGTGTGGGCAGGCCCCAGGAAGAGAGAAGGAACTCCCAGCTGGCACAGAGAGGCAGAGGATACACATTGTAAGGGTTAAAGAAGTGAAAAAGAACAAGACTCACAGAAACAACATACACATACAAGCAGGAAATAAAGTGGAAAGTTTACCAACTAGTTGTTTGTTTCTACCTCAGAAAAGATGAATGCTTGTTTAGATGTTGTGGGATCCTTCAAGGTCCTGGAGTTTTAGAATTCAGGCTTTTTAAGTGTTAAGCTCCTCTTTTTCTTTGACGCTCTTCTGTTTTCTAAATTATAAAGGTGTACCCCAGATTATTTCTGCTTTCTTGTGATTCAGATTTAACAGTGATACCTCTGTTATTTATCCAGTAAAATGTGTTTAAAGGCAGGGGATTTCAGAGAGTCTCAGCCCAATGTAGAGAACACACCTCATGTTTGGTTTCTGTACTCGCTGGTCCCACAAACATGTTTGTTTGTTTGTTTTTACTTTTCTTCCATTAGGACTTTGTTGTGAGGGTAAAATGATTTTTTTTTTTTTTTCTAGAAATATTTTACTAGATACACGTTTTTTATGCATTTCTCAGATATAACTCAATTTTGCCTTTTTTTTTTTTGGTCCTTCTTTCTCACCTCTTTTTATTAAAATATAAGCACTGCTCTATGTGATCTTGGTTCTGTGCCACTTAAACCACAATCTGTTGCATTCCTAATGTTTTGTTCACCTGTAATGTCAATTATTTTCCTTTTGGACCATAGTAGAACAAAGTTATTTTAGTAAACCTAAGAAAACTTATTATTATTATTCTTTAACTGAAGTAGAAGCATCTTGCACAGAGGAAGTCGGGAATGTCACTGAGAATAGCGTAGAAAAAATATATTTGTCAGATGATTGCTTTTTCTCATTTTATTTCCTTGTAGGTTAGACTTTCAGATATAGAACCTGAGTAGTCAACACAGCAAGTAAGGCACAATAATGCCCCTTGGAATTAGTACAAGGATTGTGAAAAGCTCCCACCTTACACCTGTGATGCACCTGTGAAATTGTAGCTCTGTGTTTTAACACTCCATGATTTTTGACATAGATGAGGCCACCCAGTGATCCATGTCTGAAATTAAGCTGCAGTATTTGTGAAAAAGATGGAGGTATCCATTTGTTCTAATGTAGAAGTAAGGATGCACTTAGTAACTATGTCTAAAACAAATAATAATAAATATACATTGTAGTGCTCTGAAGGTGGGTCAGTGCTTTCTAATGTAACTTAAAGGTAGTATTTTTCTGGCAGTTGAAGGATTAGAGGAATATTTTAATTTATTTATTAAGGAAAGGTGAAAGCTCTTACTGGACAGGTAGATTTAAGTGTGTGAAAACACAATCTTTCAGGCATTCAAAAACTTCTGGCTTGAAATATGAGTAACAAACTTGAGGCAAAGTTAACTGTAACAGTTGTTAAACATGGATTTACTATCCATTTAGTATTAAAATCTGCCAGACAAATGAAGTCTGGAAATCTGGAATTCTTAACTGGGCAGGAAAAGGAAAATTTGATGCTCCATTTCTTATTCTTCTTTTATATCTAATTAATTGAGGTGTTTTAATCCATATGTTAGCCTTTGATTTGTTTTATCTTTACAGTGCAGCAGATGCACTTCCATAACAGTTTCAAACTAATGTATTTCTGGATAACAGCTGGTGAGGTGGCCAGAGATTGACCTAATAGCTCTACATCAGAGTTTCGGATCTTAGATACAGGCTTTTCGCTCCATTAAAGGACATTACTATGCATGACTATATTTAAAAAAAAAAAAAAAAAGAAAAAAAAAAGGGAGTTTTTCTTTTTTTTTTTATGGCACTTTCATTTGAAACCTGATAAAGTATACACTTGAAACAAAGATCTTTCCTGATGCTGTATCCCACCTACTTAGATTAATGTTTGCTGCTGCTTTTTATTGAAATATTCCTGTCAAGATAGTGGGGGATGTTCACAATCCTTCCCCTTTCAGGTAGACATGTGCTGAACTTGGAGGCACTGGTGTGCCTTTGGTTGCTTAAAAAGAAAAACTCTGATGATCATTCACTGACTTAAGCATTAGAGGGAAAAAAGTTCCTGCTGAAGCTGCTAGAGTGCAAAATCTCAGTGTCCATTTTCTCCTCATCTGCGCAAAGCACGCCGGAGTGAGTGCAATGACTGCTGTAGGTGCAGAAGGGCTTGGGATTAGGCTAAGAACCTCACAGACAACAATAATCATTGTGTTTTGTCAACAGACAGAAGTGGTACATGTTTTCTGTTTTTAAGTACTGTTTTAATTGTAGCGTGGTATGTTCCAAAGTTAAGGAGCGATTTTTTAGAGTATGCTATCCTTTTTTGTGATTTTTGTTTTGCTAGTTTTTGTGGAGCAAAATAAGTTTTCTTTTATATGTTCTGTACTTAAGAATAGAGAAAGTATAATGATCCTGCTACACCAGCAATCCAAGTATGTAGTAATTAATTTGATTAGTTGCTGGTGGGAGAGTAAAGTATGGAATCTGAAGTTTATATTTGTACACACTGTAAATTTGGTATTCTTATATAAACATGACCTTGGCCATAATTCTGTAGATACAGCAGAAGTAATTTAAGTGCTTATTTTTTATAATTGAAAATGCATGAAAGTAGAAGTCAACTTGTGATAAACTACTATTATACTGTACATCTGCAATAGTGATTAATTTTGAAGAATGTTTTTAGGGTATGTAAAATCAAAACAGGGAATAGACAAATCAGCTATGATAGGGTGAGGACTGTTTCTTTGTATTTACAGAACATTTAACCCTACAGTGAACCCCATGCCAATGGCAATAATTAATAGTAATAATTGTACCATTGTTTTCTAGGTTGCTAGCAAGCACAGGAAAAGAACTCAAAGATAACTTTTTGCAGGCCCTGGCGGAAAGAGAAGAAGCAAACCGTGATGGAAAGCTTTCTGTGAGTACCTGTGAGATCACAGTCTTTTTAATAGCTTAAAAATTAATCTGATTTGGAAAAATGATGCTTTTTACATGAAAAATTACTGCAGAAAGTTTACAATAGGTTATTTGATTTAGGAAAGATTCACTGAAACCTAGTATTTTGTTGATGTTAACTTTTTTTAAAAAGCAGAGTATGTGAAGAAGCTGCCCAGAAATCTACAAGCAGGTAAGTGACAAGCTGAAAGATGCAAGAGGAAAAACGTCTAGAGGGGTATATTTTGGTTTCATAAAAACTTCCAGATTCCTATTACAGAAAATTGATTCCCAGTTTTGTTTTACGTAGAGGAAGATGCAACTTACTTATTAAGAGAATGTGTTCGCAACTCATGAACATCAGAATTGTAGCAGTTTCTGTGGGAGATGCTTACGATGTTGAGCCTGACACAGGAAAGTTTTATGAACACTGCAATATGCCTCCCGACTCAGTCGGCTCGTGTGTGGTAACTTGTCCGTTTGCTGTGCTTGCTGGTGTTTTACTCAGCCAGGATGATGCTGGCTGGGAGGCCACATGGGAATCTTTTTCAATACTGTTTATCACAGTATCCTTCTGGACAAAATGTCCACTGTACAGCTAGACAAACCCATAATGTGATGGGTGAACAACTGGATGGTTGGTCGGCCTCGAAAGATTACAGTAAGTGGGGTTACATCAGGCTGGTGGCCAGTCACTAGTGGAATTCCCCAGGGCTCCATTGTAGGGCCAGCTCTCTTCAATGTCTTCATAAAAGAAATCCTTCTAACTCAGGATATTCTGTGACTTGAAGTCAATCTGCTTCCATTTAAACTTTGTAACACAACTGGAAAAGAGTCAGAAGTGGCCATCCTGGTCCAGCTGTTCTGTTTAGATACAGATACAGTACTGCTGTTTCTTGCCTTCTTTAGCCCATGTACCAGAAGTCTGGATTTCTGTCTGTTAGATTGCCTATCATATTAAAGAACAGTGATAAGAGACTGCAAAGGCAGCACTAGGTGTTTTGGAAGTTGAAAGTGATTGTGATCTTATTTCCTGGTTCTTCTTGCTTAGAAAGTTGATCAGGTATAAACTAATGATATTTTTGTTTTCCTTCTACTAATGAAGAAAAAGAATAGCACCACTCCTTCCCTCTCCACTATAATTCTAGGGATGATATTTATTCTTTTATGGCTAGTTAATTAACCTCGAGAATTTGCAGAGGAAATGCTGCCTGAAGTGTGGTTCTACAACATATGTGAGCAAGCTTTCTTGTGAAGCTTCAAACACCTTGTGGTTTCAGCTGGCTGACAAATCTCCTGGGAATTGTGCTTCTTGGCGTATTTAGGGATTTCTCCAGGAGAAATATGACACAAAAGGTTAAATGTGTGACAGAAATGAGATAGGATGGAACAAAGCTGTGAGGGTTTAGTCTGGAAAACAGAAGCACTCTGTGACTTACTTCACATGTTTACCATCATGTTAGGGGGAAAAAAAAAAAAAAGGAAAGAAAGAAAAAAGAAAGATTCAATTAGTTGTAGCACTTTCCTCTTGTATTTCACTTTCTGGCTCTAGTTTTTAGAGCATGCTATATCAGAACTGCAATTTCTTCATTTTACAGATGGGGACACTACTGAGTTGCACAGAGCCCTTCTCAGAGCAGAAGAGGGCTAGCAGTTTATATTAACAGATTCTTCTGGCCTTACGTAAAGGCAGCAGGGTTGAGCCCAGCCCTTTGGACTGGCCAAGACCTCCCTACGGATCGAGTCCAGGATGCCCAGAGCATAGACAAAAAGGAGGAAAACCTCAGCTCTGTCTCTCTGCTCATGGGGTGCTGAATACATTTAGCAATGTGAGATGAAATGTGCTCTTCTGTGACAACAGGGCTCCTAAGGAGGGCACTGGAAAAGCTGAGATCAGCAATAGGCTCCTTAGTCTTAGGGATATAGTGCGGTAGCATTCATTAAGCACCTGAAATTGCATCCAGTGCAGTCTGGGGACTCTTTGGGTTTACTAAACCCCAATTATACACCCAAATAAAGGGCTCTAGAATACAAGGTAGATGAACCTTATATTATTATATTTTAAAGGCTAGCCTTTAAAATTTAAAAAAAAAAAAAAAAAAAAAGTAATGGGGAAACAGTAAGTGGGTAAGTGTCCCATGGAAATGCTGACAGCTGATCTCAGTTCCCAAGTTTCCAAGCCTTCTGCAGTGGTATGATTTCTAGGCCCTCAAACCAGCCTCTGGTGATATATGTCAAAAGTTTTTGGAACAGTGAGTATTATTACAGGCTATTCAGTACATACCTAGATATAATGAAATATATCACATCTGAAATTTCAACTCTGACTCCACTGCAGTTTGTTGCTTTATAGATAACCCTGTACTGTTTTCCTAACGCACTTCAATGTGCAAATGCATTTCCAAGTGAATTAGAACATAAATCTGTTGGTGACCTTATAGATGCACAACAGATATTTATGGTTTTAACTATTATATAGTCAATCATCCAACAGAAAAAAGATACTCCCTTATGAAACTGTTTCTTTTCATCTTCACAGTGCCACCTGCATTCCTGCTGCAGTGTTACACCATTTTGTATGGTTTTGGGGGTTATGTTTGGTCTCTAAGACTATGTATGCTGGCTGCTGAGCAGACCAGCCTACCCAAAGAAAACACTGCCTATTGGGAAAGCTGAAGCCACTGCCTGCCATTGAAACAGCATTGAGACAGCATTGAAATTGCAGGAATTATATTGTTTGTGTTCTTCTCTTCAGAAAGTGATATCCTGCACTTGCTCCTTTTGAGATGAAAGCTCTGCAAGTTGTGGGACTTAATTCCCACTCACCCAAGTAGGTCTAATAAAAATGAGAGACATGGCAGGGAGTTATCAAATGGCTTCCCATCCTCCTTTGAATGTGACCACGTGACAATAGCATTGAAGGTCTCTCTGAGCTAATGAGCGATTTCATTAAATCCTTGGGTTTCCTTCCTAAAGACTATTAAACATAAAACTAACTTTTCTTAGTCCATCTGGATAAGGCTAAACAAGGCTTTGTGGCCTACCTCAAAAAGTCGCCACACGTGTGATGACATTGCCATAAGGAGGTTACCTGCTGTGATTGCTGGTGGTCTTCAGCAAAGACAGGATTTAATGCTGCTTGGCAGTGCTGCCTGCTTTAGAGCTAGACTTCAGGGCTGCTGAAGGAATGGGAGCTGAAAAAGAAAAGGAAAGTACTTGTTCCAAAGCTGCATAAATGTGAACCTCACAAAATTTTTTGTAATAGTTAGTTGGCTTTAGCACTCTCTGCAACAAGGCTCAGCCCTTTATTTAAGGGTCAGCAGCGCTTGTCCTGCACATCACGGTGACAGGGATATTGCATCTGGGAGACAAGTTCCTGATACAGCAAGCATTGTCAGTGCTCTTGCTTGCTGTTGCTGGCAGGAGCTCTGAGGGTGTTTCCAGACCCTTAGAAATCAGCTTCTGCCTGAAGATGATTTCCTATATGCCTTTTCTGGATATATAGCCAGCCCATCCTATTCCTCTTCTCTTTTTCTCTGAGAGGAGGATGAAAACTGCTAAGGCCTCTACCTGGAAGAAGTCTCTCTCAGCTCTGCTCAGTCATCCTGAGCTGAGTTCCTATTTCCGCTCTGTTTTATCAGCTTTTCCAGGTTATGCATATGTCAAGTTCATCTGGGAAGATAATTTTCTGAAATGAGCCTGTCTTGAAATATGCACTGCATGTACTTGCTTTTAACCAATTCCATTGAAAAGTCTGATGCAGAATAGTTGGTAAGATAAAATAAGAACTAAAAACCACAAAATGGTTTTAAAAAACAAGTGAGGTGTGCAGGGTGAGGTAAGAACTGACTACTGACAGATTTTTTAACTTACCGGTGAATTCTCCACATTCTCAGGTATGAGTTCACCTGAAATCCAATGCAAGTCTTATGATCAGACTTACTCAGCAGGCAGACAGATCTCTACTTCTTTACACAGGTGTATGTTTACCCTGCCTAACCTTCACCTGTACTCTGGTATGCATTAAATATTGCTTGTTTATTCAAGGTGATAAAGGGCTCTGTGGATGTTCTAGTTTGTTTTTACAAAAGCTGTAGGATATTATACCATGCCCAAGAACACCTTTTTTGTGTCCTAGAGCAGCAAGTCTCACAGTTAGTGTTTGAATACCTTGAGGCTGATCTTTTGGAAGAGGCTTAGAGTAATGGGGCAGAGAGAGACTACAGCTAACCTGATCTATCTCTAGAGAGATGGACCCTGTAAGCATGGATTTGGATTCTATGGAGATCTGAACAAGTTGCAGTTAAAGTTCTCATTGTTTTTCTTCTAAAGTTTTCATTGGTGTCCACATCAGGAATGTTTAGCTGATTCAAATAATTAGGTAGAATGTGTTCATGGAAAATAGGGACATTAGAAATCTGAGAATTCATCCTTCCTCCCAGTTCTACCAATAGGAAAATAAATAAATGAAGTTCTTGTCTTAGTATTGTGAGAGCTACAACCAGGAGATCAGATGACATTCATGCCTAGTAGAATGGAACGTGTTGATTTTTCTCCCCACTGAGTGTTGGCTGTGTAAACAGTTTGGTGGCTGGGCTTTTTTGTCTTTGCAATGTGTATTATTGAAGCTGTATAAAAGCACTGGTTACATTTTGTTCCTTGCAGCAATTCGAAGAAACTCTGACTCAGAGAAACCTGTGAATTCAGCAGTTTCTAATGCACGTTTCCTGTGTTGAAAACTGGATGAAACATAAGATTGCGTTATATATGACCATCAATATTGCGTTGATGTGATCTTGTTTCCCTTTACTGTTTTCTAAGATCTACGAAGGGTTCCCTGTCAAGAAAAAGATGGTGTTTTATAAATGTTTATTTCCCTTTTAGTTGAACCAGTTTGTCTGTTTATTAAGTCCCCATGGAAATTGCATGAGTGGTGCAGGTAATAATAACTTAATTTGAATCAGTCACTTATGCCCTTGAAAT